GGAAATTGAGACGTAGACACCAACTGAGGCGTGAACACTAGAGCTGACGTAGACACCAACGGGCACATGGAGACAAGAGCTGTCGTAGACACCAGCGTTGACGTGGACCCCAAGGCAAGGACACCAGCGACGTCCTGGTAAATTCCTTTTGCGTGGACACCAACACAACGGGGACACCAGCGACGTCCTGGTAAATTCCTTTTGCGTGGACACCAACACAACGGGGACACCAGCGACGTCCTGGTAAATTCCTTTTGCGTGGACACCAACACAACGGGGACACCAGCGACGTCCTGGTAAATTCCTTGAGCGTGGACACCGGCGCTGACCAGGACACCTACAATGACGTGGACACATGTGATGACGCGGACACCAACAGTAGCATTAACACTAGTCAGTCCCCGACAGTAGTATATTTAGTGACTTCAAAAGTCACACTTGGAAGAATGTTCAGCGTTTCAAGACTGATTCGAGTAGTTTCAGATCAGCTGAGTTGGGTACAACCTCCTTGCTTGCAACGTCATAGCCTCCACCTACGGCGGATGTTGACTGTTAGCAGTGCCTGTTGTCCGATGACCAGGTCAGATCATAAAAGAATTATGTCCGACGTGTCCGGAATGGCCAGGAGTTCGTTAAAACCGGTTCAGTTGTATATCACTCGAGTAGTTAATAATGAAACTATAGAGTGAGTTAAAACCGGTTCAGTTGTATATCACTCGAGTAGTTAATAATGAAACTATAGAGTGAGTTAAAACCGGTTCAGTTGTATATCACTCGAGTAGTTAATAATGAAACTATAGAGTGAGTTAAAACCGGTTCAGTTGTATATCACTCGAGTAGTTAATAATGAAACTATAGAGTGAGTTAAAACCGGTTCAGTTGTATATCACTCGAGTAGTTAATAATGAAACTATAGAGTGAGTTAAAACCGGTTCAGTTGTATATCACTCGAGTAGTTAATAATGAAACTATAGAGTGAGTTAAAACCGGTTCAGTTGTATATCACTCGAGTAGTTAATAATGAAACTATAGAGTGAGTTAAAACCGGTTCAGTTGTATATCACTCGAGTAGTTAATAATGAAACTATAGAGTGAGTTAAAACCGGTTCAGTTGTATATCACTCGAGTAGTTAATAATGAAACTATAGAGTGAGTTAAAACCGGTTCAGTTGTATATCACTCGAGTAGTTAATAATGAAACTATAGAGTGAGTTAGTTTAGTTTTACGCCGCACTCAGCAATATCCCAGCTTTAAGGCTGCGGTCTGTAAATAATCGTGTCTGGAACAGGCAGACCAGTGATCAACAGCATGAGCATCGATCTACGCAATTGGGAACCGATGACATGTGTCAACCAAGTCAGCGAGCCTGACCAACGGATCCCGTTAGTCGCCTTTTACGACAAGCATGGGTTAATGAAGTTCAATTCTAACCCGGGTCTTCACGGGTCATGAAACTAATGAGACAGACATGGACGTGCCACGTAATATGAGGTATCGCCACTTGCTTGACAAAGACATTGCAATCAATGTCGAAACGTCGCCTATACAGATGAAGAAGTTTTATATAATAATAATAACAATAGTCCATTTATCATGCACATTTCTCCGTGCACAGTGCATGCTCGAAGCGCACAAACAGTATCATTAGCATTAGTATATCCATAAAAATAGTTCCCAGTCCTCAACTTCTAGAATGCCAATCAAGGAAGACGAACCACAACGTCAACGACAGGTGCGCCAGTCTGTCCGTTATAACTACCTCTAGTACCCGACCCCACGGAATACGGGACAGGCGTCAGCTGTAGAATTATACAATCCTATGTAACACACACTTAACCCTGTGATATAATTCCCTGTTCTACTAATGTACGTTCATCACGCTGCCCCCTGATACAACACGTTACAGAGATCTACCGCTTCATTTCGCCATTGTCGTCCACCTAAAAGCCGAGCAGTCCCGTCAAACCGGATTAACCGGGCGGATCCGTGTAGTTAAATTAATGCAGGACACGATCACAGAAGTAGCTTGTCTTGTTCGGGGATGTTCAAAGACAGTGCCGACAAGACTTAAGTCGTTAGTACAAGATTAATTAATGATTATCTGGTCGTGATGTCCTAAGGCTGGGGTGTGATGGACTGGTGAACGAAGTACATCGTACAGGAGCATTTCATTTCTTCGTGAATGCTGGAACCTTTCGCTGTGGATATTCACTGAAGATGAAGAGAGGTAAATATAATCTATTTGAAAATTATTATGAAAAGTTGGTGTGGTGCTTGTTGAATACAGCAGCTTTTCGTGTTTATTATGCAACATGATTCCGTCTTAAGGACTTTAGTTCGCTCATCACGCGTTTGTATGGACGTTCACCTTTAAAAGGGTAAGTGAAAGTTTACGCCGCCCTAGCACTATTTCAGGTGAGTGAGTTTAGTTTTACGCCGTTTTTAGCAATGATCCAATAATATCACGGCGGGGGACACCAGAAATGGGTTTTACACATTGTACCCATGTGGGGAATTGAACCCGGGTCTTCGGCGTGACGAGCGAACGCTTTAACCCAGCCCATTGCCCACTATTTCAGGAACACCACGGCCGATGCTTTATAGCATGGTTTTAGTCTGGTAGTGAGGTTGATTTGTGACGGGACTCACTTTCAGCACTTAATCTCTGCGATATGAGTGAGTATAGGTCTAAGCCACTTATCTGTAGCAATATTCAAGCAGAAGGGGAGAGAGAGAGAGATTGTCAACAGTTTGGAAGCCATAATCTTGCACCAGCCGTGCCTACTGTAACAGTTACCCCTTAGCAAGGAATATTAGTTGGTCGGGTGGTCGGTGGCTGAGTGCCCCTCGTCGAGTATAGATGACGCTGGACGGTGTTTTGACCAAACCATTTGAATAAAGTACAAATCATTGTCATACAGCTGGAATATTAATGACTGCGAGAGTAAACAACTAATAAACACAGCTCGAGATAAACCCTACCTCCTTAACAATTTGCTGCAGGCTGATTTTACAATAGATATTTAGTTACTGATGTTTTAAGGGGCTGTAGGTGAATTCGTAACCAAAACCGGTTCGTAGACGTGGAAATCTGGTGGATTCGTAGACGGATTGAGCGGTGAATTCGTAGACGTTATTAAAATGGGAATAGTTCAACCTCAATGATGAAGAAAATCGACGAAAAGTGTTTGCATTTTGTGAAATAAATAAAATATATCAGGTAAGTATGATCGGCGGTGAAAATATCCTTAAATAATAAAATAACAAAATATGCTTCAAAGTGGTCCATGTCACAAATTCCGACAAATCATAGGCCGCTAATATATTAAATTCAGTTGTGTAAAATTAAAAGATATGTATTGGGTAAGTATCGTCATTCAACGTTTAACTATGCAGACCAGCAGAGAAGTATCACTGAAAACAAAGCATAACAACTTCGTTATAAACATTCTAAGTAACATGTAAGTAAAAATCAAACTTAATATACACTATATATTCAATTATTTATACACGTCTACGAAATCACCGTCTACGAACCGGTCTGGGTTACGAATTCACCGCGTCTACGAACTGGTTTTGTCTACGAAATCACCGTCTCCCGTTTTAAGGTGTTGTTTACTGACTATGTTCATCCTGTCTTCCTGCAGGCGAGTACTGGGTCACCAAGCCATACTGCTACTGTCATGGCGCGGCGTTATGTAAGTACCACACCTTCCTACACTCACACCCCGTAGTGCGGACAGTAGCCCTCTGGCTATATCGTCCAGATTAATAAGTGTCATGATTAAAAATCGTGGCTATTGAGTGATTTCACGATCAGCAGTAATGTCTGGATAAACGTGGTCCATGTATAAAGAGTCCGGATGAACGAGGTTCCGGCACTTTTCGTGCGGGTAACCGAAAACCCGACAAGCTAGAAGTTATGTAGAACTGATCTGATACCTTGTGGCATGTCTGTAAAACCGCCATGAAGAATCATCCTTTTGTAAGAGTGAGTGAGTGAGTATGTCTTTACGCCGCTTATAGCAATATTTCAACAATATCACTATGATGGAAACCAGAAATGGGCTTCACACGTACCCAAGAAGGGAATCGAACCTGGGTCTTCGGCATGACGAGCGAACGTTTTAATCACTAGGCAACCGTGTCCTTTTACATGAAAATGGATGTGATCGTCAGATTCGGTATTTTGTTGACTGTGTTTTGTCGAACAGTAACACGCTGGACATTACAGGTGGTTAATGCTGACCTGTCACCTCTCAAGTCGGTTACTTACGGGAGAAGGTTCTGGGAAGTATATTAGAACCAGGATGTAACTCGCTCATTATCATCAAGTGATATCCCTTATGAAGTCGCTTGGCGTATTAGAATCACGTTATATATTAATTAATGTTTGAGTTTTGTAAATGCGTCACATAATACAGTAATATATTCTTAGCTTGCTCCCCCCTGCTCAATTCTGAGAAAAATATAACAATTTTTTCAACGTAACTTTTTTTTTGTCTCGAGTTATACATGCTGCGTATTTAACCGGTATGACTAGTTTAATGTGTTACTCATTATTCAGTACACAAATGTTGTTCGAGTGGAGAGATAGTAAGATGTACGATTGGTTAAAGCATTAGCTGTGACGTCCTACAGGTGCGTGTCATGGGAGGCTCGCTGACACACCTCCACGTGATTGGCGGTGGGGTCTGATTCAGATGCACGTAGCCATCAATCACCGTCCCGTCCCATCACAAGCCTCTATGAAGCTCCAGGTTACAACTGGTTTAACGGAAGTGCGTGGCCAGACCCGTCGACTTGCTTCATGCCTGTCGTCATATCACAAATTGCGTAGATCGATGCTTATGACGACTATCACCGTTCTAGCCCTCTACTAGCTAGGATCGACACAAACGCCAAAGCTGTACTAGGGGTGCTAGCCTCTACTAGCTATTCTTCAAACTCAGTAACATGAACAATACTGTAAAGTCTTTCTGAACAGAGGGTGGCATACTTAATTAAATGCCCCCTGGTGCTGGAACAGGTGCTGGACTGGGGGTATGTAGAACAGGTGCTGGACTGGGGCATGCAGAACAGGGGTATGGACTGAGAACAGGTGCTGGACTGGGGGTATGTGTAGAACAGGTGCTGGACTGGGGTATGTAACAGGTGCTGCAGGGGCATGCAGGTGCTGGACTGGGGTATGTAGAACAGGTGTTGGACATGGGGCAGACTGGGGGTATGTAGAACAGGTGCTGATCAGGGGTATATGTAGAACAGGTGCTGGACTGGGGGTATGTAGAACAGGTGCTGGACTGGGGTATGTAGAATAGGTGCTGGACTGGGGTATGTAGAACAGGTGCTGGACTGGGGTATAGTAGAACAGGTGCTGGACTGGGGGTATGTAGAACAGGTGCTGGACTGGGGGGCCCATGTAGAACAGGTGCTGGACTGGGGGTATGTGTAGAACAGGTGCTGGACTGGGGGTATGTAGAACAGGTGCTGGACTGGGGGTATGTAGAACAGGTGTTGGACTGGGGGCATGTAGAACAGGTGCTGGACTGGGGGTATGTAGAACAGGTGCTGGACTGGGGGTATGTAGAACAGGTGCTGGACTGGGGTATGTAGAACAGGTGCTGGACTGGGGTATGTAGAACAGGTGTTGGACTGGGGGTATGTAGAACAGGTGCTGGACTGGGGGTATGTAGAACAGGTGCTGGACTGGGGGTATGTAGAACAGGTGCTGGACTGGGGGTATGTAGAACAGGTGCTGGACTGGGGGTATGTAGAACAGGTGCTGGACTGGGGTATGTAGAACAGGTGCTGGACTGGGGTATGTAGAACAGGTGCTGGACTGGGGGTATGTAGAGACAGGTGTTGGACTGGGGGGCATGTAGAACAGGTGCTGGACTGGGGTATGTAGAACAGGTGCTGGACTGGGGGAGTATGTAGAACAGGTGCTGGACTGGGGTATATGTAGAACAGGTGTTGCTGGACTGGGGTATGTAGAACAGGTGTTGGACTGGGGGGCATGTAGAACAGGTGCTGGACTGGGGGTATGTAGAACAGGTGCTGGACTGGGGCTATGTATGAGAACAGGTGCTGGACTGGGGGTATGTAGAACAGGTGCTGGACTGAGGTATGTAGAACAGGTGCTGGACTGGGGATATGTAGAACAGGTGTTGGACTGGGGTATGTAGACCAGGTGCTGGACTGGGGCTATAATAGAACAGATGCTGGACTGGGGGTATGTAGGGCAGCCTTCAGAGACATGTAGAACAGGTGCTGGACTGGGGGTATGTAGAACAAGGGTGTTGGACTGAGGGGCATGTAGAACAGGTGCTGGACTGGGGTATGTGAGAACAGGTGCTGGACTGGGGTATGTAGAACAGGTGCTGGACTGGGGGTACATGTAGAACAGGTGCTGGACTGGGGGTATGTAGAACAGGTGCTGGACTGGGGGTATGTAGGAACAGGTGCTGGGACTGGGGGGTATGTAGAACAGGTGCTGGACTGGGGGCTATATGTAGAACAGGTGCTGGACTGGGGTATATATAGAACAGGTGCTGGTCTGGGGCTATGTAGAACAGGTGCTGGACTGGGGCATGTAGAACAGGTGCTGGACTGGGGGTATGTAGAACAGGTGCTGGACTGGGGGTATGTAGAACAGGTGCTGGACTGGGGGCATGTGTAGAACAGGTGCTGCACTGGGGGTATGTAGAACAGGTGCTGGACTGGGGAGTATGTAGAACAGGTGCTGGACTGGGGGTATGTAGAACAGGTGCTGGACTGGGGGTATGTAGAACAGGTGCTGGACTGGGGGTATGTAGAACAGGTGCTGGACTGGGGGTATGTGTAGAACAGGTGCTGCACTGGGGGGTATGTAAGGGGTGCTAGCCTCTACTAGCTAGCCACTGTACTAGGGGTGCTAGCCTCTACTAGCTAGCCACTGTACTAGGGGTGCTAGCCTCTACTAGCTAGCCACTGTACTAGGGGTGCTAGCCTCTACTAGCTAGCCACTGTACTAGGGGTGCTAGCCTCTACTAGCTAGCCACTGTACTAGGGGTGCTAGCCTCTACTAGCTAGCCACTGTACTAGGGTGCTAGCCTCTAGGGGTGCTGGCCTCCTAGCTAGCTAGCTAGCCACTGTACTAGGGGTGCTAGGGTGCTAGCCTCTACTAGCTAGCCACTGTACTAGGGGTGCTCTAGCTGGCCCCACTAGCTAGCCACTAGCTGTGTACTAGGGGTGCTAGCCTCTACTAGCCCCCACTGTACTAGCTAGCCACTGTACTAGGGGTGCTAGCCTCTACTAGCTAGCCACTGTACTAGGGGTGCTAGCCTCTACTAGCTAGCCACTGTACTAGGGGTGCTAGCCTCTACTAGCTAGCCACTGTACTAGGGGTGCTAGCCTCTACTAGCTAGCCACTGTACTAGGGGTGCTAGCCTCTACTAGCTAGCCACTCTATGTATATTACCAATCAAAAGTTTAGACTCACTAGTGTAAATGTAGCCACTTACTTCAGTCAACGGTTCTAAAGTAGATTTTGCACAATGTTTCATACCGTTTAAATGTGTTGTTACACATGAACTGATGTATTGAAGACCCCAGGAGAACATAACCATAACCCACACTACTGTTATTTCGAGAAAAACGCATTTGATTTATTTAATTCAGTTGATAAATCCCTAAGTTATTATTATCGCACAAATTTGTATTTATTTGGTAGTTGATCCATGTCCTTTCCAAATGACAAATATTTGGCCATATATAACCACAGTAAGTTGTTTTGAAGACATTTGAAATTACACCACCTCTGACGACTGTGTGGATTATTACGTTTTTTCTGAAATAGTGTTGTCATTGTCTTTCTAAAATTATCAGATTTACTTGATCACGTGCCTACTAGAAACAACAAAACACGGTTGACAGAATTAAAAATATATTTATATTTGTTCAAAATTCATATAACAAATAAATTAAAACAATTTTCCCTTCAACGAAATGATGTATAGAAATGCCAGACTATCCAAGCTCATACCTTGAAGTGTTTGTGACCAAACTGATTCAGTTTCATCTCACACATACCATATGCACAGTGGAATCAGTGTACTGCCCAAAACACTAATCCTTTACTGTCAAGTTTGCTAGAGAATCAAACCTTCAAGATTAAAAGTCAACAATTTTGAAGACTTCAACATTCAAAACCCAGTAAACTTGTACTTAACATTGTGAAAATCAATCTTTGATTTGTAGTTGAAACTCTTCAAACTCAGTAACATGAACAATACTGTGAAGTCTTTCACAGACAGGGGTGGCATACTTAATTAAATCCCCAATTTCAAAATATCCCAAGATTGTAAGAATAGCTGAACTCTTCATTCTATGCATAGAGAACGTCCTCAGTGTCTTGACCCTTTGAGGCTTCCTTCAGAGACATGTAGAACAGGTGCTGGACTGGGGGTATGTAGGGCAGCATGTTTTGCTTTGTCAATTTTCCTTGGAGCCAAATATTTGTTTTTGAATTGAAATGCACTGATGTCCTTTTGTGCTCCACGTTTTTTAACGGATATGGCAGTCCACAGATCAGAGTTGAAGGAGGTGCTGGTCTCAATCATACCGACGTTCTCACCAGACTCCATTTTGAACCGAACTACATCCTTGAACCTCAAATGGGACCCGTCTGCTGCTTTTGTTCTCACAGTGAACATTTCTCTGAGGTCACTCAGTCTGTAGAACTCTTTTGATGACATCTCATTCACTTGAAGCTTTGGGGATGACTGTCTGATGACTTCTCTCCAGTGTTCAGAAGTGTAAACAAACTGGACATGATGAGGGACATGGTTTTCACACAACATATCTAGATGTGTCTAAATTGCTAACGGCTGAGGGGATGGTGTAAATCCAGCTAGGGCCCATGCAGGAAGCAAATGTACTGTAAGTCCCCATGGTCCCTAGTATGGTGATCTACCTTTAGTCGTTAGCAATCTCTAGCCTGTTTTTATATTGTATTGCCATGTATAGTTAAAATATTTTAGATTAAGTTACTAGTTTTATATTTATATCTGTGATAATCTAGTTGTTTTACTGTCCTTCGGTGACAGAATTTTATAATTTACCTTTAATTCTTACTATATTTATATCTTGATTTAGTCACGATACGGCTGAAATATTGCCGATGTGACTCTAAATCTTAACTCACTCACACTCACACAACATATCACTTGCACAGGTGGATGAAAACAGATCGTCAGCATATGGTACCTCAAAGTATCTAAAACATGCTGAATGACTCATAATGTTTTGTAGGTGGTTCATTTTGAATTGGAAAAAATCAACGGAAAATTCTTCTATCTTGCTCCAGAGAATACTGTTTCCATGGACAATATTGTAAAGTGTTTTGCAGACAAGGGTGATAGATGTGATTAAGTCCTCCACTTCAACATATTCCAAGATTCTGACTATTATTTCTTCAGGCAGATCTATCAGGGTTATCTATAAAAGAAAACAAATGTCAACATTAAAAACCTCATTCAGTACCTTTAATTTAAAATTTCCATTGATATTCCGATGCATCGTACCCCACAGCATGCCTTACTTTCATTTCACAAAGAATGTGATAACCCTATTGAGATCTTTTTCTATGGCCTTCTCTTTTGGAAAACAAACCATACACTTAAAATATGGATTATTATTTAGACCACTTACATTTCTCATTAAAATAGTCTGTCAGTATTAGACTGTTTCCACGTTATACAACATGAGGGTTGTGAGGGCTTGTGAAATAGGTGTTTGGGAAACAACATGATAACCAACAAAAGACATAAAAAATGTCACAATCACAAAGAAATTAAAACTCACCAAATCAGAAGTGCTGACATCATGTTCCCTATCAGATTCTACAAATGTTGGATCTGCAGTGCTGTCGTCATCCTCTGTGTTTGCTCACAATTGATCTAAAACTTCCTGATCCGTGAACATGTGCTCCGCCATGTTTTTGTGGGTTATTACTTTCTTTCTGAAATTGGTCTCTGGGAATGTGGATTGTGATATTTATTTAGGGAGATGATGCAATGAACAAACTGGTAGAGATAGGGGAGGTAACTAGATTTCAGATGATTCCTCATGGTCTGGCAACCCACTAAAATAGATATCTCAGAAAATCACAAAATGTGGGTTAAGATTCTGTTCCCCCTACGTCTTGTATTGTAAAACAGAATCGTAACGTTGAAAATATTATTGTCAAGAGTTCAATAAGCGATGAAACTCAGTGAAAATTGGCGAATTCTTAACAAAACCTTACACCAAAACCCAGCTGTTCACATGCACGATATCTGCACATGCTTTCAGTAATTTGATGCATGATCATCGTGCAATCTATCTGCAGTTTGCAGTTGTTTCCCCCAAATTAGTGGAGATATTCATGTTCAATGTAACATATATATGTTATATATATATGTCCGAATTTTGAACTTGATAAAAAGGAAATATTGTAAATTTAACATCGTTAAAAGGAAAAGATGTTAAATGCGAAAGGAAGCGATGTTTAATTTACAATATTTGCTTTTTATCAAATTCAAAATTCGGACAAAGTAAAACGAACTTTAAAAGAACACTACTTCATAAACAAGTTCAAACCAATGTTAAACCATTGCAAGCTGTGACCTTGTCGCTCTAGAATGTTGTCCCTATTGTGTCGTCACAATATATATATGTAATGACGTCATACTGTAACCGTTACAATCTCCCTGAAGAGTAAAGAACGAAACATGTTGGAGAAAAAGGCATTCTGTTTTTATTTATCTATGCAATATTTTTGACTGAACACCTGTACTATTTTGGACATTTTGTGCGTATATATATACATAACATAGTGGGTGCTTGAATTGAGTCTAAACGTTTGATTGGTCTAAACATTATTTATCAAATAGCAAAGAATAACAAATGCCATATGCCAATTTTGTTTTACTCGAAAAAACTTCAATCCAAAGGGCTAGTGAAGTGTCGGATATGTCTGTCCAAAGGGCTAGTGAAGTGTCGGATATGTCTGTCCAAAGGGCTAGTGAAGTGTCGGATATGTCTGTCCAAAGGGCTAGTGAAGTGTCGGATATGTCTGATCCGGATAAGTAGTTTGATCACTGTCCTTGAACCGCATTATTGTCCCTTCTGTCTAGACCTTTCTCCCATTGTAAAGCCATACATGCGGCAAGTCTAGATTTCATCATGTACTGATTCTCCCTTCTCAATGGGGCTCCTTTTTAATGTAGAAGGATTGCTTTTTATATACTGTATATTCAGAAACATTAGTTAGCTCGAGTACTTACACACGGACGTCTAACAGCAGGTATATTCATAACAAACAACCAAACAAAACACGTGTCACCATCGGGTCAATATGTACAAATGACCTTACAA